ACACACACACACAGCCTAAAATGGACATCAAAACGCAGAAGCTATTTATCTCAACAGGAACACAGTCAATTATCCAAGAATACTTATCACTCAAGGCAGTAATTACTTACTGTCTGTGGTTGAATTTTAATTACATCTTAGCCGGGTATTGTCTCATATGCGTAAGTGTGTGTGTATGTGTGTGTGAATGTGTGTGTGTGTGTGTGTGTTCTGTCAGGATTCTTATCGTACACTCACACTAACACACTCCTTGGCTGTAGCACAATGACCACAGCTCTCCACCACCTGCTGTTGTGTTAGAACAGAGAGCCAGAAGAGAGTTTTACTCACAAAATAGGCTCAGTGCTTTCATCGTTAAATAGTATTTTACATTTTATATATCAATGGTGACTCAAATGCATATATAAATGGCAACCAGCATATATCTTTGTTTTTTTTTTGTCTTTTTTTGTTGGAGAAATCCCTCACAATTTCCGTACATGTGTACAGATGTGTTTCATTAATTCCCATTTGTGGGGGACTACATTTAAATGTAACCAGAACATTGCTGCCACTACTTAGTTAAATTGATACTGTCATATCATTGTTACATTGTTATTATCCCCTTGTTAGAGGAAAAGTGCAACATTTTGGGAAAAATGCTTATTGAGAGCGAAAGTGGAATTATTCTATGGGCTGCACTTAGATGACTGTGCACAGGGGTTGCTTGGATACTTTCACTTGGCTGTTTGATCTATACTTGGATGTAGTGTATTCATGGTCATTGTCGTCTTTGTTTCACAGGTCCACGTGGTGCGTATTGAGATTCGGAAGATAAGCACATCTGCTCTCCAACGAGCCTCTGCAACCTACAATTACAGATAAAACCGTTCTATGCGTAGCTTCATAACACGTACAGAGGCATAATTCTGGCTTTTTTGTTTGTTATTTTTTTTGATTGTTCTTAAAATATAGGTCTAGAGTCAGTAAGATAAGATGAACTTTATGAATCCCACGGGGGGAATTTGCATTATTTATAGAGTAGAATATAGGTGTAGTTAAGAGAAAAAAAATTGGCATTATCTGTGTATTTACACGAGGTGTAATACTAGGTTACTAGGTTAGCTTCCCTTTAGGATAATAAAGTGTAAACTCTTATCTTATCTTAGAAAAAGACTGGAAACAGGAGAAAGCAGGCAGCCTGGCTCTGTCCAAATTTATCAATATCTGTCTACAAGCACGTCTAAAGCTCTCTGATTAAGACTTTCCTTTGCTTAGTCCATACAAAAACTAAGCTTAAAAACAACCATTTGATGGTGGTTTATCTGCCAGACTATTTCTTGCTCCCAGTCTTTGTGCGAAGCTAAGCTAACAGAACTGCTGGCTGTAACTTCATATTCAACAGAAATGAGAGTGGTATTGATCTCCTATAATTCTCCACCAGAAAAGCAAATAAACGCATTTTCCAAAATGTCCAACTATTCTTTCAGATTTCCCAGAGGAATTGAAAGAAAAGAAAAAAGAGGACCAAAATCAAAGGTGTGATTTTGGTTTCAGCATTTTTCTTGGGTCAGCTCACCCTGCCAGTGTCGCTCTTTAAAGTGGTCTTTTAGCTCTAAAACTCCTGTAATAAGTACTACTAAGAGTAGCGCCACTGTGTAATGATGATACACTGCCATTACTTGTCCAGTGCAACAGTGACTGAATTGTTTGTGTCTTTAACAAATACAACATAATGAGGTAACAGCAAAGTTTGAAGGCAGAGTGAGGAGCTCATAAAGGAGAATGTTGAATGAGGGGGAAAGTGGAGGTGGAGTGAGGATAAAAAGAAATACGACAGAAGGAAATTGAAAAAATGAAGTGATTAAGAATGCAGATTAATCAAATGACAGGTGGAAGAGAAATGTAGAAGAGAAAAAAAAAACAACACCTTTCTCTTTGCTGTCAGCCATAAACCTGTCTGATGGCTCTACTGTCTTTAGAGAGGATCCCAGTGAGAGATTATTAATGGCAACTCTAACCTGAGCAAGGGTCACTTCTCCCTCCTAGTCATTAGAGCGAGATTTCTAAAGACAACAATGAATACAGCTGCTCATTCATTAACCACAGCTCTCAGGTAGACAGCAGACATGGGCTGAATACAGGAGAGGAAGGAAGCACAATGGCTGGCATGTTTACACAATATGTCTGATCCCTGAATGAGCAGAGGGAGAAACAGGAAAGATGGTGCTTAATGTTTATACGCTGTTGCTAGCCATCAGTGTGATCAGAGTGGCGCTCGGAGGTCCTCTCAAGTGGCACTCAGCCGTGATGCTTTTCATCCAGCAGGGAGATTTATGTGTGCTGTTCGACTGGCTCTCATCTCATCATCTGTTTTGTCCTTTCTGCTCAAACAGGAATCTCTGGAAATGTTAATTACTGATTTGTACGACAACCTCCTCTTTCTTTTAGCTGTCTGAATGTCATGAACTCCCCACTCTCCATCTCTCTCGCCCAAATGTCACTTACAGTATATCAAATACACTATGCTGTGATGAATTACAAGGGATAGACTTAGGGATAGAAACTCAATACGAGTATTTCTTTGAAAAAACAAACTCACTTTTGCAAACCCAGTGACAAAGATCCATCTTATTAGTTGGGTCAGTAGCTGATGCTGTGTTAGTTTCAGCTTGTGACTGCTATTCCTCTCTGTCAATCCTATTTATACTATATTAGTGTTTGGCTTGCATTAGCAATATTTTTGTTGTGTTCCCCTTATACATCTCCTCGAACATATTAAATGCTATGATATTAATTACAATCTCCTTCACCCCAGCATCATGACCCACCTGTAGTTTTTCTAATATGCATTCATACATATTTTTTTTGGGGTCATTTGGGGACAGCACATCAAACTGACATATTATCACCTTATAAAGTTGATGTGGCGAAACATGTTAGCAAACAGTAGCTTATTTACACATCCAGTAGAAACGGAGCATAATTAGCATTCATGTCACCTGATGTATGCGAGACCAATATTCACTCTCCTTTTAGCTAAGGCTTTGCTCCGTCAGCTGCTGAGGGAAATACCTGCCTCTTTAGGCTCTTTGTGTTCACCAGTGAGTCGCTAACTTTGGCTCAGTTCAGACCTGGCATTAATATGTGTCGCAGGTGATCCAGTCACAAATGGACAGCTCTAAGTACAGGTGTGAATGCAGCCAAGACGCATGGAGGATGCATTTGAGATCCAATCACTCAGACCACATTCGGTGGTGGTCGCATATGGCCACATTCTTTTAGGAGCGTGAATGCAAACGTGTCCTGGGCCCCATGGACCGCCTACTCAATTGCTATTGTCTGCCACAGTCTAATTAGTCCCCACAGTTTCATAATGAACTGAAAATATTATTTGGGTTAGGGTTAGAGCGGGGAAGTGAGATCCAGGCACAAGTGGTCACTTGAGATGCATGTTGAGACACACTTTAATGCCAGGTGTGAACTGATGCACTTGTGATGTCCACTTGTGATCGGATCATCTTAGACGCATATTAATGTGACGTCTGAATGGGGCCTTAGTCTGTCTGTGGTTTGGTGCTGAGCAGGTAGTGTGTTGTTTTATGCACAAATCATTCATAGATTCACTGCTACGTTGCTTTATATGCGCATGTACATGAACTTGAAGTGTGATTCGAGCCTCAACAGATGATTATTTTCATTATAGATTAATCTACCAATTCTTTTCTTGATTAATCAATTGGTCTATAAATCATCAGAAAGCCGTGAAATATGGCCATCGCATCCTAAAGCACAAAGTGATTGTTTTGTTCGTCCACCAGTCCAAAAGTAAAAAATATTCAAATTTTCAAAATTTGAGCAGAAATTTCACATTTGAGAAGCTGGAACCAGAAAATGCCAAACTACTCATCTAAACTCAAATTTGTGTTTGTGTGTGACTAAACACAGGTTCCTCCTCTACTACGCCTGCTCTGTGACTGTGTCATTGCAACAGAAAAATTGTGCCAGACTCCAACAGCTGTTCAGTCAGAAACACACCACCATCAACATTCCAGCTGGGAATACCTTGTTGCAGCCCTTTGCTTTTCTCTCATGGTCAGCAGATGGAATAATCCGACATCGTCATATAAGTTACAACCTGAGCTTGTTTACTGGTACACACTGAGGCGGCTTTTTTCCACCACACTATCACATTGCTCTTCTCTACATTCCTTGCTTTTTGTAGCTGAATGTGGAGTCACAAGTCAACATCCCAGGCAGTCCTTGTCTTTTTTTCCATCAGCTTAACATAGCTGTCCTTGGTTGGATCTGTGTGTATGTGTGTATGTGTGTGTGTGTGTGTGTATGGGGGGGTATCGATTTCCACAGTCTGGAAATAGGCCTACAAGCAAATGGAAATGAAGAGTCTCACTCCATCGCTTGTCGTTTTCCGAATGTATGGAAAATAGTTGCCATGTGACGCCCTAGTCCAGTCTGTCAAGGCGACCAAGAATGATATTGTCATTGGGCCAAATGGGTCAGTCAGTGATGAGTGAAAGACTGTGGGTGTTGCCCAGGTTGTCACAAGGGGCCGTGGGATAAGTTCACCCCACTGGCTGCCGCTGCTACTAGTGTTGTGCTGCTTGGTCCTGACCTGATAGGGGGCCTTTGTCACTATGTCGCCGAAAGCTCCTAATCCCCAAGCTTTCTCTCGCTATGGCGACTGTCCCCAGGTGTTATGACCATATGGTGAGAGCAGTAATCCTGGTATTTTCCCTTCTGTATTTATTTTTACGGCAACTATAAAATTAAACTGTTGAGTCAACTCTTGGACTTCAAGCAAGAACATATTTTTTCCATTCGAAGCAGCCTCATCAGAACTGTACCTCGGATACGAGCCCATAAGGCCAATCTGTTACCATAATAATGTTAATATGTCAAGATGACCTTTTCCTCCTACCTTAATCATCTCACTAGATTTAATAAAACAATCCATCTAATATCAGACTTGTTTGTTTGTTTGTCTCCCGTCTGTCTTTCAGTACCGGATTGGCCAGCTGTATATGATCAGTAAACACAGTCATGAACAGAGTGAACGTGGGGAGGGCGTGGAGGTGGTCCAGAATGAGCCGTATGAGGACCCTGAGCATGGATCAGGCCAGTTCACCGAGAAACGAATCTACCTCAACAAGTGAGTGCCTTCCTTTTGCCATAACAACAATTTAATTAACCCACCACAGAAACATCAGAGCCCACATATCCTGCTTTATATTATAGACTTTATATTGTATCTATTCTATATCTATTATTCCATTTTATTTCATGTCACACTAAAAATCCTCAGCGTTCTATCGCAAGTCCCTCTTCATTAGGCTGCTAGTGATAAAAGCTGTCAGGAGAGATTTGACAAAGAAAAGATGATGTGACATTTTTTCACTGCATGGCTGCCACTCATCCTTGCAGCAGGCCTGGGTGTTACATAGATTAGCTATCAGTTAGATGTCTAATGACGCGTTCATTTCAACATGCGTAAACTGTCTTATTAAAATAAATATCTGAGTATGAATAGTCACATATTGCTTATGTTATGATAACCATAACACCATGTTAATATCATAATGTTATAATCATAACATAGGCAAATATCATAAGGATTTGCTGTACTAAGCATTGCTGTTGTGTTTCAGGAATGAGCAGGGGGAAAATGTAGTTAGGTGTCCCTTTTCATTACTCTGCCAGCTTATTTTCCAGCTCATAGCTGGCCATGTGCTGTGTTAAACTTGATAAGCGTGAAATTGAGTATTCGATTTTCTGTTATGTAGATTACAATTGAATTAGGTGCTGTGTGCAGTCTGAAGTATGGTCTCCTCGCTCTCATTGTGAATGTGCTCTAAATGGGACCTCTCATCACACACATGAAACATTTATGTGCGCCATTGCAGGGAAAACGATATTGTGGACATTTGTACAAAATATCATGGACATGGACTTGAAAACAGTGATGAGGTGAGTCCAGATGGAGGCCTGGCTCAGCACTCTATTGCTTTCCTTTATTAAATCTATAACAATTGTAAGGGATGAGCTGACATCCAATGAACCAAATCAACCAAAAAAACAAAAAAAACAAGACTGGACGATAGGTCTGGGTGGGCCGTGCTGGAGGCATGGCCGAGGATGCTGACTGTATAGCTGTGATATCATAACCTTACAAAAGTCCTGAAAGTATTTACATGGCAGATAGACCTGATTTATAATCAAATAAGACAGAAAATCTCATTTTCTTCAATATGGGACCTTTGAAGCTTGGAGATATTTGACACATGGATGTTAAAGAGTAGCCTGCAAGTTAATATTAGGGACACAATTTTATACACTCATTGGTCATTTTATTAGATATACCTGTAAAATATAATTAACACCTCTATGGCAGTATCAACAAGAACTGGGCATTATAGACATAATAAAAGTAAAGATTATGGCTGAACAGTTGTACTGCATGGGATCTGAATGTGCAGGTCTATCTAATAAAGTTGACACAGAGTGTACCGTGTATAAATACCATCTGCAAATTCCTTAATTATACAGACCTCAAATGTTTAATTGGTTCTCTCTGTCCTGGCCAGAATGTCTTTTATCTTAGCCGTTTTGTGTGCATTAATCATTGCATGGTACTTCTACAGCAGTAAATCAGTTAGGCCTACCGCATATGACTGGCCAAGCTCCATCATCTCCCAGTCCAGTAAGTCCAATAAATCCACACTAACAGTTGGCAGGAACACAAATCCATCAATATCGCCAACTCCTATCAAAGTAATGTAATTTGAAACTATTGATTACCATATAGAGATCAGAGCACAGGTTCAGCGGCAAGCACAGACATGTACTTGAGGTGATATAGATTCAGTGTCTTGCTCAAGCACTTGCCGACATGAACAAGTGAACTGACGTGGGACAAATGGGCATTTAGGCAGGACCGCAATGAACAAAAGTTCCAATTATACACTCTTACAAGGCATAATGAATCCAACACTTCAGATATCAAGTCCAAAGTAAATCAACTGACTAAGTCTCCAGGACCATATTCATTACATAATTGGGAAAACAAGTTAGTTCTATATGAATGCAGTTTCTAGGAGACAGGGTTGCAATAGGCTTTGCTTACAGTGAATAGCAGCACGAGAGACATAAATAAAGGTGGAGGCAGGCATTTTCTTCCTTGGTAACTAACTTGAACACAAGGAGATGAAAGTATGCACAGTGTTAGAAGAGGATTAATTAGATTTAGCTATGACCTCAAATAGTCTCCAAACTTATTTAGTCATTTTAGGAGCCAATTAATGTTATTATTACATTATAGAGGTACAAAGCAATAATGGACCCAATCTTATTAAGCAATAATGTAAAGATAGCCAATGCCGTTTGCTCCACCTCTATTTTTCCTGAACAGTTGTCTCGCAGTATTTCATCGCAATTTTATTTCCATGCCTTCTTTTGTTGTAAAAAGTCAACACTGAGCAAAATAAAGTACTGTCACAGACAACTGAGCCACTCATTCCCAGAAGGAAGGCAATGAGACAAAGATGATGAGAGAGCCGTGTGGAGAGCTGAAGTGAGAGGCAGAAAGGGTGAGGTTTTGTGGTTAGAAGTGACAAGTAAGTGGGCCTTTGGGAAATGTGAAGTGTCATTGACAAACTCTAAGGAGAGGAAGGTTTAGTGCTGTGTGTGTGTGTGTGTGTGTGTGTGTGTGTGTGTGTGTGTGTGTGTGTGTGTGTGTGTGTGTGTTGGCATGCATGCCTGAGTGTTACTGTGTGTGTGGGCTGAGGGAGATGAGGTCAGTGTAAGTAATGGATAATTTGAGCAGTCACTGTCGGACGCCACGCCTGCCTCTCTCCACCCACAAACCACCTGTTACCATGTTAAAGCTGCAGCCTGTGCGCACACGCGTGTGTGTGAGTTTGTGTTTGTGTGTGTGTGTGTGTGTGTGTGGCTTGAAGTTAAAGCAGTGTTAGGACATGTGACCAATCTGCTGTGTCTGGACACTCCCCCCGGCTGTTTGAGAAGCCATTGGAAGGAGACCAAAGAGGGGAACTGTCTATTTCATGTCCCAGTGGCCTGTCCAAACTCTCATTTACAAACCTGTATAATCTCCACATTCAAATACCACTTCTCAATACAGAATTAGAAGGGAGGAGAGTTAAAATAATCAGTGGCTGGTATAAAAGTGAATTTCCCTGAAAGTGAAATTTGCTACTACTTAATGATGGCTTTGTGCCCAGTAATGATGCTGTTTGCCATGCTTGATTGACTGATATTCAGTCAGGCTGCAGTGAACTGTTTCTGATAGGACAGTCTGCACTCATTGCCAATCAAGAGTTACTGTTCCATTGTTAAAAGTATCAAAGTTTTAAAAAGAAATCTGCTCAAATCTGTAGCTTGGCAATTCCCCTCCAGCTAAACTAGGTTTTGTACTTGTTCCTCTCTCTCAGTAATCATTTTCCTTTTCAAATGGACACCCAATATGGTGCCTGGTTAGTTGGCTACAAATGTCTTGTATTTAGAATCCATTTTTGCTGAGTAATAGCTAGTTCTCTGTATTTTCCGCCCTCCATGTCCTTCTCTAGATCTACCACCGTGCAAGCTCTGGTGAGACTCCACTGCAACGTACAGGGTGTAATCAGTGTAATCACCTTCCCCGGGGGCCTTCGTGACTGCCTTGTATGGCCTCAATTATGGCTGCAAACAGCTGGATGCTTATCATGGCTTATTCTGGGTGATAGGCCCAAGGAAAAAAGTGGAGAAACTTTTAAGAGTGAACTACTTTGACTGGACGGGACACACGCTATTTCTCTCATTAGTTCTCTTGCTTTTCTCCCTTTTTTTATTCTTCTTCTCCTTCAGTTCACTAATCCAGCAACTCTTCTTTTCTGTGTTTCAGCAAGCTGCCCAGTTGGGCCAGAGCAGTCGTCCCTAAAATTTTCTACGTCACAGAGAAGGCTTGGAACTATTATCCATACACTATAACAGGTAATGCTTTTATTATACATCCCTGTGCTTTTACATTCAATGTACTCTCAAAAGTACTCACATCCATGCTGTTATTGTCTACAGTACATTATATTATGTAAGAAAAATTAGCATTGGTTCAGGAGAAAACCTCTGTCTCTCATAATAAGAGTCTCTGTCTGTAATAACATGGGTTTCTGCTGATTTGTACAAGACTAACATACGCACACACACACACAAACAAACACACACAAACAAACTCCCATTTTCTGCAGCTCTCTACAAACATGGCTCTGTTCACCTGCTGGCAGCCATTATATGGGATCACTGTGAGGTCAAAAGTATATGGAAGCAATATTCTGTCCAACACAATCCACCATGAGCAGAAGGGAGGGTGGAGAGACAGAGGTCAGGAGGGATGGTGAAGGTGATAGAGAGGACAGGCAGGTTTAACTGAAGGATAAAGGTTGTAGTTTGTGTCTGTCAATGGAACATGTTTTGATCTTTTTCTCAACAATTTGCCTCACCACTTTGCAGCTGCTACATTCAAAAGCGACACGTTGATGCACAGTGCCTCGTAGTGGGTACAGCAGCAGCTTAAGTATGACATGAAGCCTGCACACATAAATAACATTGTCTTATTTGCTTATTCAGTGGACTACTCGTGTTCCGCTACAGCAATCTCATTGTCAAAAGTTTATTTGATGTGTTACATAAAATATGAATGTACCTGTTATCGAGGACTGATATTATGTCATATGTTACTGTGGTACACTCAGGACACTTGACACTTTAAGTGGTGTTTTCTAATCATCTGGTGATGCCACGGTGGTGTCAGTGTTTGTGGATGTACCAGACAGCTGAAGTTTTTCTTCAGTCATCCTAAATATTAATATAATATTTAAAATGACATCATTACAATCAATTCAATCAAACGACTCTTGAAAGTGTAACAAACTTGTAACAGAGGACGGACTGCTTTAAATGCCAGGTAAGAAACTATGAACAGTCAACAGATATCGCATCACTCCATTGTTATGTTGAGCTTTAAGTAACTGTGGGCGCTGCAACAAGCAAAACAGCATGGCAGCAGTTTCACAGGGACATGCAGCTCTTATATGTACAGTATGTCTGTGATAAAAGTACATGAAGAATTATCAACATCACACAGATTTTTAAAAAAGGGGACTATGTCATTACCAAAATGGGCTCCTCTCATATGAAGTGCCATTGCTGAGGCTTAATGGTCCTTTTTCCATTTTAAACTAAATGATTTTTTTTTCTCCATTCTCTTCTTATCTCTCTCATACTGTTTCATTCCCATGTCCTCTTCTACCTATCTGCCCCCCTCACTTTCCTGTCTGGTATATACTGATGGCCTCTGCTGGGAATATGGTCAGAGTACACGGTGAGTAGTTTAAATGTGTCTACACCCACGCACATGCACACACAAAAAAAATCACACACAAAACCACGCTGCTCCAACAGCTGAAATGTAAATGAGTGTGGTGAAGGTTAAAGTTGAGAGTGACTACACTTCCTTAATGCTGCTGGCACTGGACAACAAATGTGTGTGAAGTGCCCTTTAAACAATAGGAATTCAAGGTCACTGGAACTGGGAGACACAAATGCCTCGCTGCACCATCCATGGCAATTTGATACTGATACATCTTGTTCATAAATGTTATGAGAATGACTGCACGTGCAATGCAGCGAGTAAATATTAGCATCAGTATATAACAACTGCAGAGCGCATTATGTCAACGATGGGTACCCAGGAATATACTAAAACAAGCGTGCATGTGTGTGTGTGTGAGACAGAGAGGGAGAAAGAGAGATTTGCATGTGTTTGTGACATTCTGCTTGTTATTCTGATCTTCATTCATCAGATTGTGCTCACAGCAAATGAAACAAATCTTGTCTACGATTTTAGCATTTTCCATGCAGTGATATTTACCTACAACCATCCCATATTTGAAATGCATGTAATTTCACATCAGTAAAACACCCAGTGTGACTTGGAACCTCGATTAAATCCAAACTGAATGATTTAGATTTTATTGTTGCTTTGTGTCTCGTTTTGTTTTCTCCTTTTGACTTCATGGTTATTTTGTGTTGTACATAATTATGGAAAACGAGAGTAACACTGAACTTACTGCAAAAGAAAATGCAAGTAGAATGTACATATAAATAATGTAACCAAAATGGTCTCTTTAAAAGGGCACCCAGGAGACAGTAGTAACCTGGAGTACCTCTGCAGGGAGGCGTCCGGGACGAATCCTGATCAGAATCCTGATCAACTGACTTTTTTATATTTGTCAAACAAATAAGTTACTTGAAGAAATTATCATAGGAAATAATAATGTTCTTTTTCACTATTGTCTGATGGTTTGCAGACCAAAAGAGTAAACAATTAATTGAGAAGACAATTTTCTACTAAATTGATAATGAAAAGAAATTTATATATTGCAGCCCTATCTGAAATTAAATTAATTATTTACCACCCGAGAGCTCATGACCTGAGTTGAAGGTTGAAATGTAAATCAACTTGATCTCTCCTCACCATTATGTTTCGGTAACACCAACACAACACCTCCATCCCTGCTGCACCAATCCACCTGTCAATATCAACTAATCAAGGAAATTTCCCATTCAAGACATTAACAAACCCCACAGCTCTCAGCGGTGTAACTGGTTTAATTGACTGTCGCTGAGAAAAGCACTAATGATTTGCCCAGGGACATCGGAGACATAGCCTGTCCACCTTATGTCTAAGGCAGAGAGGAAACATCAGTGAAGCACACATAAAATCAGCATCAAGCTGATCCTTTCCCTTGAGACTGCACAGATGCATGAAACATCTGGATGTTTGAGGAAGGTCATGCCAACTCATGTGAAAGTGAATGAGTAACTTTTTCTGAATTAACAACCTCAAGAATACGAGTGCTGCTGAAAATGAGTATCCCTTCCTCGGAAAAATATGCTGTAGGCTGGCAAAGCAACTCACAGTATTCTCAGATCAGCAATCATCACAATGTCGATAAGAGCCTCTAACAAGACAGAGGTCTACTTGTAAGTTAAACAAGTATTAATAGTCTGTGTTGATGGCGCTTGTGTAGTCATGCTGCCTCATGGGACCGATTCAGCTTGGGAATATTTTGTTATCAGTAGCCTGAGGTGGGTGCAGAAGATAAAGATAATGAGTGGGAGTGCCAGGGACTTTGTTGTTCAAAACAGGTAGTCACAAAGTCATGTCATACTCAGACTGTGCATGTTAGTTTTCTCAGGATGGCAGTAAAGTAGGTCAATCAATCTATTGGTTTGATAGTCATTAGCTCCACCACTTTGTTCCAGACTGAAATATCTCAACAGCTACTAAATGGATCGCCATTAAATTGTATGCAGAATGGATTGCTATGACATTTTGGTGCACACATTCATGCCTCCTTCAGGATGAATTGAATTGGAATCATCAAGCACCACCATCAGGTCAACCTTCTGATACTTTGATTTCCGTCAGCCTCAGTTGAACTTTGTGTTTTGTGCTAGTTAGCTAATGTTAACATGCTAACACTCTAAACCAAGGTGGTGAGCATGGTAAACATAATACATTCTTATCATCAGCATATTAGATTTGTCATAGTGAGCATGTTAGCAGGTCAACATTAGCATTTAACTCTAAGCACCACTGTGCTTAAGTACAAGCTGACAGAGCCGCTAGCATGGCTGTACACTCTTCAGCTTGTATTAATTAGTAGTGTCTGTATGAAATGCAGGAATTTCATTGGTTAACTTTTGCAAGAAAAGCAAAAGAGGTGATGATGGAGTAAATATATTGATAAAGCAAAAAACACATCTTCGGAAAGTAACCACTAAATGAACACAACATATGAAATGTGAACGCGTCAGTCCATGAAAAGGGAGCGATCTCTGGGGTTTGTACTGATGGAGATTCCTAGACGATAAGGAATATGATGAAGAAATAAATTACAGAGAGTCTGTGATAGTGTCAAATAATAGCTCTGTCTGTCTTTTGAGGATGACAGTATCTCCTTCAAGATGAAGGTTTGTGTGCCTTTAGTTTAGTAGCCACACAAACACACACACGCACATGCACAAATCCTATATACACACTTTTTTCATTGTCTCCTTGTAAGACTCACAAGGCCATAGACAGCACTGACTTACTGCACTGTGCACAGTAATTACAGTAAGAATGCACACCTTTCTTACAAATACACATACACACACACACCCCTATGTATTCAGCATGAGCTCCCAGCATCACGCCCTGTAGCTCATTTTTTCCTTTGCTGCAGGGCAAAATTGATCTGTCGTGTTGTCTCTTTCCTGCTGTGCCAAACATAAACACACACACACACACACACACACACACACGCACACACACACAGACAAAGAGAGAGAGAAAGAGAGAGAGAGAGACACTTGTACATAAACAGCTTACGTAACAAGTGCTCCACTCCTTGGTTGTATAATAATTGGGATTTGGGAAGTGTTAAACTTTAATCTAATCAAACTGCTGTGTTTAAGAAATGATAAATGGCAGTCAACATGGCCATAAAGGCGATAAAGTGTGTGTCTGTCTGTGTGTGTGTGTGTGTGTGTGTGTGTGTGTGTGTGTAGTGCTGCTTGTGAAGAAAGGGAGCATGTGCAATGCTTTGTAAATCTACACAGTGAAAGAACAATCACTATTGCTCATCTGGTTTGGGTGATAATGCACAGACGTGGAGACACAATTAGTATCGCATCTCCTCCCGTGGATCACTTGACAGAAATCTTCGACCTGTGTGATGTAATCTGGTCCAAACCCACATTAAGCTATGTAATTATCATCGGACAAAGTTACCACTGCCCATATCAATTTCTCGCTGTCTCGTCTTTTTCTCCAGTGCTCCTTCCTGCCTAAGTTTTCCATCCATATAGAGACCAAATACGAGGACAACAAAGGGAGCAACAATAAAGTGAGTGGAGCTCAGAGTGTCATGTGCCTGGGAGTGTGTGTTGTGTGAGTAGCTCTGAAAGGTGCATGGCTTTTCAACCGATTTCATGTTTGCTTTTTTAAAGTTCCCTGGTGCACACATATCTGTCAGTTTTATTGCCTCATCTTTTTTCCTCTGCATATTCACCAATCTTGTTGCTTCAAAACCTCCAAATCAGATCTGATGAATTCACTTTGTCAGAGGGTTATTGTGTCATTGTGTTGATTTAATTTAATTGTGAAATTTTATTCATTCTTCTCCTCTTTTTATTAAATGACTGATATGAAGAGAATTAGCAGTTATTCCTGTAGATAGGTGGTTTTTACGCACATGGTGTGATCGAGTCTTTAAGCGACATTATTATTTTTGTTTAAAAAGTTGTGAGTGGCCTTGCTGGAAAAATATGTCTTTTCCTTTCTCACACACCTGAAATCTCTCCGAGCCATCAGATGTCTTTCCCCTTGAAATGTTAATATCACTGAAAAGGAGATCATTATGGAAAGTTATGGCAATATGACCTAGAGTTCTGGCAGATAAATATCAATATCAAATACACACAGGGATCATAAACACTATAACACCATCCCTGGTTCTGTGACTAAACACCCATCAGCAGCTAAAAGTCGCAGACATCACAACAACAATTTACTCAGTTCGGTTCATGTTAATGGAGGTTATTGGCCTGAAAGTTTTGGAACATTATTGCCCAAAGAAAATAGGTACGGTACAGACACACATCAATAATTCAGAGAACAGTAACTGAAGTAAAAAAGGATTTGAACATAACTACTGTATAAAATAAAGCAAGTGCTTACTTTCCCCTACAGCAACATGACAAGCTACTCATGGTTATAGCACTTTGCTTGCTCGCCACCTCTCCTTCAGTGCCACCTAACACTTTGATCGGCAGTAGGGGCAAGTCTGAAGGTTATGCAATAGTGCCTCCAGCCATACGGTAGCTGAAGACACACAGCTCCTCTTAGTGGTGGGTCCGGGCAGTTGCGGATAGACTCGCAGATGGTCAGGATTTCACATTTAAAACTGATGGTAACAAGTGGTGTTGTAGATGAATTCAGTTGAAGTGTTTGTTCCTTCTCTCAAATTTACACTTTCCTCCATCGCCTTCACCACTTGTACAGATATTCTTTCTCTTTTCTTTCTCTAGTCTTCTCCCTTATCTCTTTTGATAACCTTTGCACCTCTCTTATTGCCCTTTCTCCCTTCCGCTACACCTGTATAAAAGTTTGAAGTATATAGGAAATATGATTAACTCTCTGTGACGCAGGGAACGAGCAGATAGAAGGCATTGCTTTTCTGATCCTGTGTGAGTCACACAGGAAGAAATCAGTGACCACATGGTGTGAGAGGGATTGTGTGAGTAACATTCATCCTCACAGTTTGTTTAGTGTATTGTCTGAGGGTAAAGCCAAACTAAAAGGAAGGTGCTCATCATGTCATCTGTTTGTCATCACTGTCAAACCCAGTAACCTCTTCGAACCTCTGCTTTCCTGTGCAATATGATTCATGATTTTCTTTCACCCTTCAGTCTCAAATGAGTCTTAACACCTCCAGAGTACAGAGTAGCTTCCCCTCCACTGCCTCACCAAGTGACAGGGGAAATCACAGCACATCATCCTACAGCATTTGTCAACCCGTAAAGTGCACTATTGATTTTGTTGTCCTCACACACCGGACTGTTCCCTCTCCCCCAGATTTTTGGCAGCGAGCCCAGAGAGGAGGAGACAGAGGTTTGTTTCGTGGACATCGCATATGATGAGATCCCCGAGCGCCACTACAAGGAGTCAGAGGTGCGGCGGGTCAAGTCACTGACCTCAGGATACACCGTTCATGTTTGTTTGTTTGTGTGTGTGTGTGTGTGTGTGTGTGTGTGTGTGTGTGTACAGGAGCAAAGAATGAATGAATACTTGCACACATGGGAGAGAAGGGGGAAGGCAGAAAGAAGAATGAAGGGGGTGGGGGTGTAATTTATGCGCAGATAAACAGAGAGGTGTGTTATCTCTCCCCAGCAGTGCCAGCTCATTTTTGACCACCAGCTGGCCATCTACCTCCTGTGAGTGATGGAAGGGAGGGAAATTAATGTTTATATGTGGGGGAGGGAATGGACATTAGCTGTGGTGATATGGCATTTGTGTGTGTGTGTGTGTGTGTGTGTGTGTGTGTGTCTCTATCAGGGTGTGATGGTCATAAAATACTGAGCTATTAATAATCAAGAGGGGTCATGACAGGACTGCAGTGCTGTTTTATTATTGACACCCCTGCTTACACACACACCTCCCACTGAGCTTTATGCTCTTTTGCTTTTATCCACCCAGATCTAAGAATAGCACCTAAATGCCATCCAGAGCTAAAAGTGGATGTCACATGGCTGATGTAAATATCATTTGATTTAAAGACAGATGTGTTTAGAGTCACCAGACTCACACCTCACTGCACAAGATCAGCGTCTTACATGGATGATCGACTGTTTGGCTAACAGCATTTGTGTATTTTTGCTTTAAGTACTGGACGTCATTCCACTTTCCTAATTTGAATAAAAGACATTCAGTAAAAAACAAATAAGGAAGCGTTGCAGGAATCCAACAGCAATGTAACTCAAAGCAGGCTCTCCTGAATCACAGTTAGGTAATCAGCGTCCACAAGAAAGGGAATAAATTCCCCAAAAAGTCAAAGCCCTCTGGCTCCTTCAGTTAAAACGTTAAAAAGCATTTATTATAGTAAATGATTAAGAACCAAGACCAAATGGCATTGACTACATCAGGGTCAAACAATCACACAGGCAAGTGAATTGAGTACAAGCACACACCTGGGAATCCCCGCAACCATATCCCGCTTCCTCATTACACCTGTGCTCAATACCCGATGAACGTAAATGATATTAATGAAATATATTGACATACGGATTTTCTTGAAATCAATCAATACCAGTAAATACTGGTGGTTTGTTTCTTTCTTTTTTGACCTTCCTTTGTAAAATAATTCAAATTGAGACAAAAGCAACAAAAATAATTTCTTTCTCTTTTTTAACAGTGTCAATAACACCATGTTGTTTATAGAGGAAGAGGAACTACTTGTGGATCAAACAGTACAGTAGATTACAACTGCACAATACAAACATCTAATGGCATAAATACATACAGAAAAGGGGCTAAAATACGCATTTCATACTCTTTCCTATAGCTTGTGATGATATTAAAATCAATTTCTGACAGCCACAGGTACCTGTACTGGTACCACTTGCTTCATTTTATTTATTTATTCGTTTTTCATTTCATGCCTTTATTAGATAATGATAGTGGAGATACGACCAGAAACGAGAGAGAGGTCACTGTTATGGTACATAACACAACTTAAGCCATAAGCTATGGGGGCACACCGATAACTGCACTGATTTGATCCTGATGTCATTCTTCTGCATCCACTGTCACATTTTGTGATTTATTTTTTGTGGAAAATGTAAAACTGAATGATTAGTTAGAGGTTTGGTGTACACAGAGTTACACTGTGGCATACAACACTTTATAAAGGCTCTATCACAGGGAAATATTGGAATTTGAAACCGGTGCAGAAATATCAAGTAATCTTGTGATCTGATATTTATATGTAACAGATGTGTTTAAAACAGACCAAGCAATCCTCATCTTTTCCTTCTTTGTCTACCAAGAAACATAATGACATGTTTTATGCACAGTCGAATGCAACAAGCCTCTTCCATCTCCACTGCAAGTGCTTTCCCAGCAGGCATGGAGAGAGTTGTGTATCACTCCCGCACACACTCTGTGACACAGTCAGACACATGACCCTAAGACAAATGAGCACAACAGCATAATTAGTCTATAGGGAGCAGTGATTAATGCATGTAAAGTTTGTGATTAGAGACTCCCCCTGTGTTGCCTTGTGGCTGTACTTTACACGAGGCTTGTAATGAATGCAGGTGATCCTGTCTTATAGACAGGGAGGGGGAAATTAATCTGAGTGTGTGTGAGTGTGTGGGTGAGAGAGAGAGAGAGAGATAAATGGCATGAAAACAACATTTAATTAGGTACTGGTTAAAAAAAAAGTTTAAACATTTTTAAGATGATTTTTGTTGATCATGCAAAGCTTATGAGAAATAACAATGCAAGATATTTTTTCCCTAATGAGGAATTTCTAAACCCACTGTCTCATGGCCTTGTAGGACCTGCGCTATTTTAAATCAAAGAAGACTAACCGAGGCTCCCTGCAGGAAGGATGGATCAACACACAAGACCCCATCATGTGCTCCTACAAACTGGTCACAGTCAAGTTTGAGGTCTGGGGCCTGCAAACACGTGTGGAGCAGTTTGTGCACAAGGTCAGGATATAAAAAGGTCTTTTAAAAGCCAAACTTTTTAACCCATGTGGATCGTTGTCAGTGCCAGAGGCGCCTCATTTTCTGTTGGCCATGAACCAAGTCAGCCTTCTACAACATCTGCCCTGTTCACTCTCTACTTATTGCCTTGCACCTCCTCTTTTTACCTTGGCTGCAGAGTTTATTCTTCATATCTCCTATTTCCCAAAGCCATTTCACCTAGCCCTCTAAAGCATCTGTCCCTGGGGTGAACTGTCCCTGTCCTCTCCTTGCCCGAGGCGCACACACACACACACACACACACACACACACAGGGCCATTACTCACATCTTAACACCAGGAGTGACTCATATTAATCACATTCCTCCAGGGGTGAACAGAAACATTTAGAACGTAGAAATGTTATAGATCTCTTTTTGGCCTTCAGAGTTAACTCGTTCTCATATACATCCTCTTTTCTTCAACTTCTTTCCTGCCTCTGTCCCTTCTCTGCCTTTCTGCCTCTGTCATCTTGCCTCTTATACTTTCTTTTCCTCTATTTTTTGTGTAATTCTGCTTAGGTGATTCGAGATGTCCTGCTGTTAGGACACAGGCAGGCCTTTGCCTGGGTGGATGAGTGGATCGGTAAGTGTCTATTAGTGAAGGTGATGGCTCAGGAAACATTGTTTGTAACTCATCCTAAGACTGCAGTATTTATATATTTTTTTTAACTATTTGCTGTTTCACCCTGTTTAAAATTTCATGCCAGTGAAGCATCTTTAAAATGAATGAGGCTGTCTAATTTAATATCTCACCTTGTGGTGGTATTGAAGACATATAGATGAGTTATCCATTTCTATGGAAAACTATTTGATGATTCATTTCATACCTCCACTAAGCCATTATTATTTCAATTTCTTCCCAGCTACTGTGCTACAGGCAACCTGTAATATATGTCTTGATTATTGGGTTTGCAATAGCTGCTGCAATAATAGATGCTCTAATGTAACCATGTATTTACTCAGGAGCACACTAGGTATTGAATTTGGACCGCTCAGTGTGAAACCTCTCTGATCTTTCTGTTCTGATGTAGCTCTCTGTTTGAAGAATCCCTGGTTAATATAGGTTTCAGCAGAGTTGTCAGTATAATCAATGTGAGATCAGAGACTCAGCGTGTTCCAAGCAATTTAGCATAAATATGGCAAAAGAGAATATATGTCAAAAACATCTTTGAGACAAAACAGCATTCCTTTGATTTAGTGCTGGGCCTTTTTTATCAAACATACGCCCAATAAGATCAGGTACCCCCATTGACACTACCCACCGTGTTCCCAATATGTTCTTATGGATGAAATAGAAAAAAAATTTTCGTAGCTGTCAATTTTTAAGTTGCTTTGATCAAGTTTACATTTGTTCTCTAGTGTCTCTACTGCCACTTGCAGAAGCAGAAGCTGAATGTTTCAACTTTTATCCATCACTTTTAGCTAACTACTTCAAATGCTACTACTTCAAATGAAACCCGTTCTAACCTGTTTATCCATTAGGTGTTTATTTAGATGTTTCAATTATTAATACATTACTTTTAATTTTCTATTTCAACCATTTATCCATTATTTTTATTGAACTGTCTCAACCACTTACAGCTGACTGAGGTTGATGGGCAACTTACTGGTTTTTGTAAATATTCTTAAGATCAGAATTATTTTTCCCGTCACCAACACAAATATATATTAACAGAAGTAACCCTGGGAATCACTGTTCTAGGACAATCTCTGACCTGACAAAGAATAGACTTAGACACCTACGAATGTCCACATTTGAGCTATTTTCAGTGATATCATCATACTTCCTGCTCTTACTTTTCATTGAACTTAAATAACAATAACTGGACTGTTAAATAGTATAATCATGACCAATCTACATTTCATTTCTTAAACAATCAACTATTTTCATGTTAATCATGAGATATTGGACAATGTTTCACTGCTTTCTGTAGAATTCAATTATGAACCTACTCAGCCTCACAAACTAAACAGTTCTCTTTCCTAAGTCTGTAATTCCTCCATCCCAACAGAAATGACCATGGAGGAAGTAAGAGAGTATGAACGAACCACACAGGAAGCCACCAACCTAAAGATTGGCTCCTTCCCCCCTGCCATCTCCATCTCCGAGAACCCCCTACCATCCAGCACCCGCAGTGGTCCTAACAGCGCCCCATCCACTCCTCTGTCCACTGAAGCCCCCGAGTTCTTGTCAGTGCCAAAGGAGCGTCCCAGGAAGAAGTCAGCTCCAGAAACCTTGACCCTGCCTGATCCAGGCCGCAGGGATTCAGTCTTCAAGCTGCCAAGCTTTTTCTCCTGGAACTCCAGTCCACAGCCAGAATGAGAGCACGGCTATACCACTGGTGAACGCCCTCAACCTGTGGATCAGTGGAGGATGCCTCCCCAGCACATCCCACAATACCCCCTCAACCAGCTGAAGTGAAGGTGACTTTTCACGGTCCTGGCGACCCCAGCCCCCTCAGCAGACTCGCCGGTGTTACAGCAAAGCCAACAGCTCTCAGGCTACCTTTACAGGTACCGACAGGCAGTCTGATCACCACAGCAAAAAGTCCTGCGAGGTCTGAAGGTATAGTGCGTCCCTTTGAGAGTCTAACAAAAGCAGCTGGAGGCTACTCATTCTTCTCTCCTCCTCAGAAAACAGCCAGCCAGCACCATGCATCAGACAGTATGGAGTCCAATTAGTCAGATTGAGTGTAGCATACATTCCTGAAAATATTTTATCCCGCGAAACATCACCTTGTTTTCATCCAAACTCAGGGTGTGTTGACAAGATATGTTGAGATTCAGTCACTGCACATAAACTTTACATGTACAGAATTAGTTTTTTCCACTTTACCTTTAGAGATCGGAGTCTCTGGCCTTGTTGACTGGAGCTTGTGGTTTGACATATCTATATATGTGGTGGGGACTGACAGATTCTTTTTGGCCACTGTATCAGTTGAGTATTATGGTTTTCACAGTCAGATGTAAGGTGATTGTTGTATTCTTGTATATACAGTACAGTATGGACATCAAATAACCAGTAAAATGTCAGTGCTTCAAAAAGAATATCATATCCAGTGATGCTGCTGCTATGAAATGGCTTGTGTATGTTAAAGAACATGGCTTTCTTCAGGTCTCTATCTTCTTTAAGTGTTTATTTATTATAGTGAGTTCTGTCAGCCATGATGTCTGTAAATGACTTATCTAATTGCATGATTTTGACCGCAGAGGCTGCTTTTTAATATTTGTGAATTAAATGTTTCGTTATCTCTGCCTCATATTTGATGTTGTGTTTTAACTGAGTTTCTACAGACTGGTAAAGTGGTTTGTATGTCATTTTATTCATTTCAGCTGTATCGTTTGTAGTCATACTGTTGATGGGTTTTGTATTCAGTGAAATTAATTTAATTAAATACTGTTGTATCCATAATTGTGTATGGTAACTTTGTTAAACCATTTGTTTGAATGAAATCAACAATAATAAGTAAGTAAGTAAAACTCTTAACTCAAGGTAGTTAATATGATTATGCCAAAAGTATTTATTAAAATTTTAGAGATGGTGAAGTGCTCATACATAGGCTACTAGATATTCTTATTTGTAAGACTAGTTTGAAGGACTTAGGGCCAGATTAATAAAATTGTATAGATTCAGGATAAGGACAGAAATATGTACACAATTCTTTCAGATGTATAAATCTGTGTGTACGCCCATTTCTGTTTTATAAATGTAGATCATCATTGTGGAGCTGGACATACTGTACATTTGAGAGTCTCATTTCCAGTGCCACAGTTAGCCATAAGTGGATACAGAACCACCTTTAAAATTTATTGCATATTGACACTTGCATGTTCAAAGACAGAAAAATGCCGAGGAGACCACTTTAGGTGCCTGTAGTGTTAATGGTTTTGTATTTTTATATAAATAGTTGCATGTCTCATGCTACTGTCATGATACAACATATGGCTTGTGAATATTTAGTATAAAAAACACACAGGTAGCATCAATAAAGTTATCACAATAACTTAAGTAAAAACATTTGCTAATTTCATAAGTTATCTCTTTTTTTTGGGAGGATAATGAAGCATTGTTTTACTTCCACACCAACATATCATGTTAGCGTGTCAAGTACTACTCTTGTAGTCTTTTTAAATTCAGATTGTACTAGTTCCGTATATGAAATTCACGGCCACTGCATATCACACTACAACCAGCATCTTAGACCAAATCAAATACTTCGTCTGCCACATCTGACATCTTCTTGTTCTCAGCAATGTGTTATGAAGCCCTGTGAGAGCAGCCAGTAAAGACACAACAAGATGCACAACTGTGTAGTTGCCCTGTGTACATGAAAACCAGCCAGCCACAACCATTAGCCCATGCTAGCATTGCAGTGGTATGCTCAAAAGCCAACATAAAACAAGCCAGCCACGTAACCATTAGCCCATGCTAGCATTGCAGTGATATGCTCCACGGCAAAGCTGGCAGTAAGCCAGCTAGCGATAGCAACATTTGTCAGATACTATGAGCACAAAAGTATAACTAATTCAGATTTATCAGCATAAACCAGCAAGACGGAGTAGGTTGCAATCCTTACCTTTGGTGAAGTCCAGTTGGCTATCCCTTCCTCGATTATTTATAATCCTTTAGTCCGTGAGAGTCCACAGATAAGAAAAAAATCAGACAGGTTTTCATAAAAGTATTCCAAGTTATGAATATTGTCATGTGAAGTCCACTGCTGACTGTGGAATGATTTCATTTTCAGTGCACTCATCTCCACATTTCTGCCTTTTCCTCCTTCTGACGGCCAGCAGTGGCTATGTTTGTTTTCCTGCTCCATTCTAGATTGCAATGGTGGATTGGGTCTGTCATCTTCTTGTTCAAGATCGAACTCTGGGTCAAACTGATAAAACAGAACCGACGCCATTGTAATAGCCACAGACATTTGTTTACAGATGCTGGAAAGTAAGACCTGAGTGGAAGTGGAAGCCCGTTCTTAAACTGACCAATCAGAGCCCAGTGTGCTCTGATTGGTCAGTTTCGGAGCAGGGAGGCGGGTCTTAAAGAGCCGTTTCAGACAAAGGGTGATGAGAGTATAGTAACCTGTGGGCCGCGGCCAAATCTAATGACAAGCAAATGGCAAGCATTTGCAAAACTGTTTAAAATGTTTTAAAACATCAGACATCTGCCCACCCTCAGCCAGATTCTGCTCAAGGTTTCTTCCTGTTAAAAGAAAGTTTTTCCTTGTTGTCATGTACATGCACATGGGGGAATGTTGGTCCTCTGTAGTATGAGTAGATTTAGACATGTTTTAAATGAAAAATACCCCAAGATAACTTCTGTTACGATTCGGCTTTATAAAAATAAAATTTTTACTTCATAATTGACTTCTAGCCTGGTGTTGTATTTTCTAGCAAGAATAAAACTTCCTGCATTTTTTTCTCCAGAACAAAAGCTTATGTCTACAAATGTACAACACACAAACATAAAAAAAAACATGGTATGCCTAAAATTGAGCTCTACTATACAACTGTGATATTTAATATAATTGCATTCCTGAGGAGCTTTGCCTCTCAAGTTCCAGGGCAATGCAGGCAAACTAAACTTTGGGTTTCCCGTGCTAAGCAAGTCATAATGCACTTTTACCAAAGTTTTAGAAGGATAATCCTGTGCATGTTTTGTCTTACAGTACATTATTAATTATACAGTAATGAAGGATGAACTATAGTATCCACTGCAGGTGTGGACTTGAGTCACATGACTTTTACTTCAGTGCGACACACACCTGTTTTACGAAAGGTGTATATATAGTAGCTTTAAACACACTAGTATTCTCATATTGCAGCACAAGTCCACGCAAAAACATTAATTCAAATAGATTAGACAACACAGAGCTAAGTCTTTATAAAAATTAAAACGTTTATTTTAAAAATAATTACCTATATGTAACAGTGTTGGACACAGACACATCGGCACAAACTCTTATTTAGCAGTGCATTTGGCCTATAATCAAGAGAATACTCTTGTCCACCACAATACAGAATATAGTCAATATTAAATGTTCATCATGTCTTTGCACAATAACACACACAACCCCAGAGGTGACTGTCAAGAAAATGTGAGTCAACAATAACAAAGTTGACTTGTTAATAAAAATCAGAGCTTAAAATGTGCAAAGTTCAGTATGAGCAAAAAATGTTAATATGACATTTACTGTATCTTTTAAAAGCCAGCATCCATAAACCTTAAAAATCCCAGGACAAAATATTAAATACATTTAAAATAAATTCAATGCTTATACAACAACAGGTGTAATGACAGCACAAAAAAAGTAAAGTAAAATGATGTTACGTTTTCCAATCCTTATATGTAAACACAATACAGCCACCACCAAATATCGACCAGTTGATACGTTTGTTAAGTGTAAAGAACAAAGCATATGTGCGTGATTTTGCCATTGTTTCTTTTTTTTTCTTCATTATCTTTCTTCTAGGTCTTTGGTGAGGTCTTTTGTTCTCTCTCTCTCTCCTTGAGGTTACGCATGGCATTGAGGAAAAATTCATACCAAAAAAAAGTGAAGCCTGTTGACAGCGCAGCCTTCACAAGGCTGGGCGAGAGGCCTTTAAAGAAGCCTCGGACGCCCTCCTCTTTGGCTATTTGAACCATGCAGTCCACCAGGCCTCTATAACTCCGCACCTGCACATCAGACACAAGAGATCACATTAGAAGGATTAAACATTAGACTCAAAATATGTGCTCCAAAAACGTGAAAGATGCTGTAGAGGAGCTTACCTGTCCAAAGTGAACTCTGGCTGTCTCAAACCCCCCCACCTGCAGTCTCTTCTTGAAGAGGTCAAAGGGGTACGTGATTGTTTTGCTGATCATCCCAGCTCCACTGCCACAGACCAGGCTTCTCAGGCCTACTTGAAGAACATCAAAATGTGAGTACTGCATATGTGTGCTCTAATGTGCAGGACCAGAAACTTGAGCTCCACTGACCTCCTGACTTTCCAGCGTTGGGCGGTGGAGCCAACAGCTTCTTGAAGACATTGTAGAAAAAGAACTGCAACCCAGCGTAAGGAAAAACCGCCATAAGTGTTGGACACAGGCCGCGGTAAAAAGTCAGCACTCCCTCTGAGCGGCACATGGCAGACACAGCATGTCGCAGGTTCCTGTACACCTGAGAAGACAAATGAGGTATTATCGCATGGTTTCAGCACTAGGAATCACAACATTACATACTGGGCAATATCTAATTTTTGTCAGTACATCCCAGCAGTAAAAAACGAATTAATTAATGCTCCCTGGACATAGATAAGCAGCATAAAATTGATGGATGGATTAACCAATTACAAATGATTTGTTCATTTAAGGTTTTGCTGAAAAGGGCTGATCAGCCTCCTGCGCGCACAATCCACTGTCACAATGATCCCAGGTTATAGGTGTGTAACGTCTCCTGACAGCCCACAGTCGGATGAAAAGACATTTTAAAGCAAACATTACTGTCTAAAGAGGACAAGGGAAAATATTTAAGTCTTTTGTTACTTAAACTTAAGACTTTTAAAGACCTTGTAAGGGCCTTCTTTGAGGACACTGAATTAAATGCTTTTTAATAATTTAATGCACAGCCTGTTGATCCCCCACAATAAGCATCAGAACCCCTGTTTTTAAGTTTGTCTAAATCACTGACCATACATGGGAGCAAAAACATACCCACTGAGTCACTTAGGCTTCTCAAATGATATGAAAAAAATGAAATGTGGGTAGTTGTCTCCAGCAAAGGTAAACTGGACCACACAACATTTTCTTTACTAACTTTCATTAGGTGCACAGAAAGACATGGCCAAAGAGATACAAGGTCTTAGGGAAAATCAGTCTGTCCCACCAACACTTACAATGCTGTCATCTCAGTGCCTTGCATTGAACTGAACAGAGCGCCAAGTGTTTTTTTTAATAAAATCAACTCATCAAATCAGTCGTAAAACCTATGATTTCGATAATAAAATCCTAGATAAGGTTCTGACAGCTGCACTGCATCAGCAGTGGCGTGTCCTACCTTGGGCTCTCCCTGAGCTGCAAAGCGTGTGCGCAGTGTGTCCAGAGGCTGGCAAACCACTGTAGCAGAGCAGGCAGCCAAGCCGCCACATATAAAATGAACTCCTGCCGTCTGGCTGTCATATGGTGTCGACTTGTGGACCACCTCAGTCAGACACTCAAAACTGGCAAACTGCAAAGCACACATACGCAAATAAGCACATCTTGTTAATAACGGGGATCGTGTTATTAGGAGAGTTTTGTTGAGTTTGATTGTTTGTGTGAGCATGCAGTTTAAAGACTCCACCTGGACGGCCCCGAAGCCGATGGAGAGGAGCTGTGCCGGGATGTGCCCTTTCCAGAAAGCAGAGAGTCCCTCCTCTGAATGAATGCAGCGAGCTGCCTGAAATAACCCTGAGTACTTCCCCTCTGGCCTCTGTGATGACACTCGCTCAATCTGCAGCTGGTGGGGGAGAGAGATACTGATGAACATACAGGATTGTCAACACAGCATTAGAGCTTTCCACAGTTATTACAGTTGTGTTGCAAACAATCGCTCCTGCAAAGAAAACTTGTATTGAAGTAGACTGTTACTACTTGTGTGGGTCACTTGTCTACCTCTACCAACCTACCTCTACATACAATGCAAACACCATTAATGGCATTTTCAACATAACTTTTGATGATTATTCAGTTGCTAAGATGAGACATTTCGAGCATGGATGGTAAACCAACCAACCACTGATGAAAGAGCTACAATATAATATGTGGCAAGTCTGTTTTCCATATCAGACCATGGAATATAATTATATATATATATATATATATATATATACATCGTATTGCCTACACTTTGTCAAAGTTTTGAGCTACAACTACATTTTCTGTGTACATCTAATTTTTAGGAGTTTGGAGCACAACTATCACTAGGTAAAGTATTTGAGAGAACTGTTTCATCATCTGCTGCAATCTATTAACACTAAACACTATGAAATATCATTATTAGATGTGGTCACAGGTGGTGATGCACTGCATTTTGCTTTCATTCAAACACATTCAAAGTCTGCATGAATCCTCACTGAGCTCTCTCCTTGCAGAGGTGAATCGCAACCACTTCCACAAAGAGAAAGTAAACAGTTACATCGTTACCTGAAATCTGATTTTAAGGACGTCAAACGGGCTAATGAGGGCTCGTGTGACCATCCCAGCAGCTGATCCAGCCAGAGCTGCCTCCTCTGGGGAGAGAGCTGTGCCCTGAGCCCCAGGGTCATACCCCACCATGTCTCCACAACCTCAGGGTCCCGTTAACACTGAAGACAGAGATAAAGAATCATTTATGCTGTAATGTTAATGTAAGCTTTTATTCAGTGGCAAATCCCCGAAATGTTAAAGTGTACAAATGACAAAGAGAAGAATGGTACTTCAGTTTTCATGTGTTGAAGTTAACAAATTATTTAATTAGTATTTATTCTGATTTCTCCAATTTTATACATCAGTGGTGTAAGAAGTATTCTAAGCCTTTGCTTAGGTAAAAGTAGAAATACAACAATGTAAAAGCGTCCATTACAAGTTAAAGTCCTGCATTTAAAATTGATATGACTTAATTAAAAGTCTTAAGTATTAGCAACAAAATGTACTCATAATGCACAATGGTCCCTTTCAGAGAGTTTCTTTATTATATATAAAATATGTTATTGGAACATAATTTTAATGTTGCAGCAGGTCAATATAGAGCTGATGTGCCCTGCTTTATATACTGCTGGGTAGTTTTATCAGTGCCAATTAATATTTTACAAAATGATCATAAAATCTTGATCTGCAAAGTGAACAGCTGTCAGGTTACAAAATGTAAAAACCAGAGCTCTGGATCCTGATTATATGTGAATTTGTCGTGTCTTGTAAGCCCAGTCAGTGTAGGCATGACACAGTATATTATCAATTTCATTCATTCACGTGTTTTTTTTACGAGGCTGTGCAGAAGTTAGTGGCACAACATTCTTGATGAACGTTTCAAATACTGTAGTTGACACCAATATTGTCAAAACATTCATATATAGACAAAAATGGAATTGTCAAGAATAATATGATATAATATTAATAGAAATAAGCATGAAATGTTATAAAGACCAGATAAAGTAGCAGCTACAGCATGTAGAGGACACGCTAACATTGGGACCTTGAGACATAAGCTATGTTAAAAACAACAGAGCAGCTATTTAGTTTGTCCCGAGGCTCAGCGCTGCGACAGAGAATCAAGTTCTTACCTTGTAGTAAAATTGCGTCATAAATACAACTACACAACAGGACTGGGCCTGGACTAACACAATTCAACATTATCTGGATAATATCAGACTCCCATCGCACGCCATGGACTGCAAATATTACTTCCGGGTTAGATAGAAAGTAACTACTCCTGTCAAAGAAGAAATATCTCGGCAAGATTTTAACGGCATCACCACCAACCGTCTGTTTATATTCACAGCACGCCCACCACGCTGTCGAAATTTTAAACTTATTTTGAATGTCGCTACCGGAAGTATCAGTGTGATATTGAGTGTGGCTTGACAAATACCGCCTCTAATGGTCATGTTCAAAGTCATTGCTCAAACTTCTAGTTTTGACCTTTTCATCAAGCTACTTGATTATAAACAAATCCAGAGATGTGTGTTTCTAACCACTCTGTCAATGATAGCCTATCCAACAAAAACACTGTTTGCAGAGAATAAGTAAATACTAATTGTTGTAATTGATGGTGGAAAAGCTCTACACTTGTTCTGGAGCCTCTATTTGTGATAATATTTTTTGTTGATTTTTCAATTCTACCTGTTTGGTTTGATGTCTGTAGCTTGAACCAAAACAGTACTATTTTATGAATAAATCTTTTGTCATTTTGGCAAAATTTAATGTCCACCAGTAAATTATAGCCTATTACTACAAAAATAATGTTTTCAAAAAATAAACAAACAAAACAAAATAAAACAAACCACAATCAATATCTTCTGCACTCTACCTGCACAATGGCTATATCAAGTTGGAGATAATTTTCTTGGGGTTTTATGTATTCATTCTTGTTTATGTTTTTTTTTTTTAATTTAGGCTATTCTAATCATTGTTGTTTGTTTTGTTTTAAAACACTTGTTTTTAATGTATTGACCGGAAGTCTTATTAGGTTATTGTGTCTATATTTATGCCGGTGCAGTTGTAGTTGCTCGCTGTAATCACTAGATGGCAGACTGATAACCCTGCTAGCATCGACTAGACACATCAGCATATTAAAAATCTAAGTAACTCAGAGGGAAAGTCAAATGAAAGGGTAAATTATGTAGCCTACAGGAAATCCTAAGTTTTGTTTTTATAATATGATTATATACTATCAGGTGTACATATATTTGAGGATAATTATCTAGCAGCATGTTTGACTTAGCCCCAGTCTGTCTCTCTCTCTTTCATTTTAAGGTTTTAATTAATTTTTATACTCATTATATCACTGAGATAATGTGCTGCTTTAGCAATACTAAATAGGGGGAAACGAATAAAGAAATGCAGTGAACTTATACCATGTAGCTACACTGCCCTCTGGAGACAACATGCTGTCCTCTAGCGGTCACAGCCGGCCACAACACCATCAACATCAAATTAGGCACAATGATATAATAATACATCCGGGTAGAACCTTCAAAATAATGGTATAATGTAAAACAGTGATGTAGTTGCGCACTATGACCAAGAGAGGGCTGAAAAAAATACACATGAACACTTCTTCACCGGTAACATAACTGTATCGCAGACAGGCAAAGAAAAGATGGGTGGTGTGTTATACAAATAAATCAACAATGAACAAAAACAGACCTGAAAATGAGCCTTAAGTCGTATGCAGAATAGCGTACAAAAACTTGCAGTGTACACTTTCAAAATAATACTTCAACAATCAAAAGTAGTGTAGTTATGCTCTATGGCCACTGGTCGGCACCGAATGCTCATGATTATAAGCGTATGATTACCCAGAGATAAAACAGCATACAACTGCCTCACAAACAAACGTTTCATACTCAGAAGAAGTGTGAAAAGGCGTTGCGAGTGCGAGAATAGGGACATTCTCGTCAGCCGTCTTTTCGGTCATGATTACGTTGTTTTGATTAGGTGGACGAGGGCAGGGATTCATCTTGGCTTGACACTTGAGCTTTGAAAGAATGCGTCGGGTAACGTCTACATCCACCCCAGAGAGACCAGCATAGATGTGAAGAATTGCTGTTAAATTGGTAAAATTCCCCACCTTATCCTCGAAATGTAAGTTACTGATTAGCTCTGTCTTTTCTACTTGCTCAATATATAGTTTTCCCGTTTCTTTCTTTTGGCGGGCGACTGTAAATAAATGTGAGATTGGTATAAAACTTGACGCTAACTCGTATTAACGTTAGGTTTCTGCGAGGCATACACGCTAGCTAATTCACTGTTAGTTAACGATATTTATCGGTATGTTCACGAGAAGACAACTTAACTGTGTTAACGTTACAGTTACTCGTTAACCCGACAACAAACCGAATAACGTTACTCAAGTTGACGTTTAGCTAACGTTAGCCTCAGTTAACTACTTGTATTGGGTTTGTGGCTAACAAGCTGGTATTTAAGATATCGCTAAGTAAAGGCATACTTTGTTCTTGTGTTGTCAGTTAAATCTGTTGATTAGGGGTATTGAGTGACCTTTTAGTTGACCCGAGTTTGCCCATGTAATCCCTCCTATCCCTCAGTGAATGAGCTGTGGGGAGCCGCCAGTTTGATGACAGTACAGGATTTTGTGGTTATTGTTCTTTGGTCTCTGTCTGTAATGCATTTTGTGCCCAAGCTTGAAGCAGAACCTTAATCTGTGTTTGGGAAAGGTCACATTTTGTTTGAAAACACCTGTCAAGTGTTTCATTGATAAAAATGCTAAAGTAAAAAGTGTTGTTTGATATTCACAGCTTGACAGCTCTCAAGTGTAATTTGGGTGCAGCCATCTAAAATGGAAAACTCCACTGAAGACTACAGGATCCAGTCATTTGACCTAGACACACAGGTTTTGCTGAAAACAGCCTTGAAAGGTCAGCATTTTACGCTACTGTTTTCAGCACCCAATGTGTGCTTGATGAACATCTCCAACAATCCTTTTGTAAATACATCTCTGTCTCTTTAGATCCAGGTTCAGTGAACCTGGAGAAGGTTTCCAACATCATCGTGGATCAGTCTTTGAAGGACCAGGTGTTCAGCAAAGAGGCAGGACGCATCTGCTACACCATTGTGCAGGTCGATACTTATGGCAGTTTGAGGGGCTGGTCGTCCATCACGTTAAACAGTAGATGTTGTAGTTTGTTCAAGGCAGTGTGTACTGGCTAAGACAATGAGTGCCATTGAGGCAGAAGGATTTAAGAAACTAGAACAAGACTAAGATCTGATTGAGTCTTGTTAACCAAATTCTTAATCCTCTTACGTTATCAATGCCTAACACTCGAGCAACGGGAGGCTCTTAAGGCAGCTTACCTACATCACTGTGTTTCCTGACTTTTTGTCCATACTTCACCCTCTATGATCTGACCTGACTCTTGCTCTGTTTCTCTCTCTCTTGATTATGTCATGCAGGCTGAGGCCAAGCAGAGCAACGGAAACGTGTTCAGGAGAAACTTGTTGAATCGACTCCAGCAGGAGTTCAAGGGCCGGGAGGAGACCAGGGGGCGCTCGCTGCAGGAGTGGGTGTGCTATGTCACATTCATCTGTAACATCTTTGACTACCTCAAAGTAAGAGTCAGAGCGAGCTTTACTGTTGTTTTCCGTGAAGATATTTCAGACTTCATCATGTTGTCATGCTTTAATTATGAATTCAGAGCAGCATTGTTAAATTGCTCTGTATCAAAGTATCTTTAAAATGACTCGTGGGAATTTTCTTTTAGCTGTTACCTTGTGATGTCTTTGATTACATCTTGTGTAGCAGATTTAAATTTCCTAAAACTTCTCATAACCACTAATACTGTACCTGTGCTTCATCAATGTGTTATCTTTAACACCTTGCTTGGAAGGTTTGGCCCTAGTACATTTTCACATCAACTGGAACCTGACTCAGGTTTCATCCTTTACAATGGCATATTGTTTAGCCAGGTCAGTTTACTTGGGTTAACTTTGTGTTGACAGCTGACGCTTCTTTACTTATGTGAAAGGGAAATTATAAACAAGGACTTGATGCAGTTGCCTTTCCTCAATGAGAGTTGAGCTCTTTTTAACATTATTAACAATCAGCTGCTGTAAACACTCTCTATGTTCATCTTGACATTTAGGTGAACAACATGCCGATGGTGGCCCTGGTTCATCCTGTGTATGACTGTCTGATAAGACTGGCTCAGCCAGATGCTCTAATGAATGAGGAAGAGGTAAGGAAGAGCTTGTGTTTATTTCTCCTTTTGTTATTTACATTTGATTTGGTAAAATGATCGATACATTAATAGACAATGTTACACTAGTCTTATAATAATACAGTGGTATTGATATTATGCTAGTTGACAAATCTGCCCCATCTGAAAAGTTCCCTGTTGAATTTTCCTGTCAACAAACAAAAACTATTTACATTCAGTGTTAAACGCATTAAAACACATTGTATGTGTCCTTGAGGTCTAACAAACATTAGGAATGTTTCCTTCCTCATCAAACCTTTGCAAAGCTGAAGTGGTTCCCATCCAGCATTGTTTACACTTTTAGTTGATAAAAATACATTCATTTACTACCCAACAAAAAACAAATTAAAAGCAGATTTTTAAAAAAACAACAACGTTCAACTTAGTTAGCATCTGTAACAATGTTATTTACAGTGTCTATAATAAAGTCATAATATTACATTGGGCTGACAGTTGTGAGATTTCTCACAATTTGCTGATAGTTCCTCTCCCTTTTTACCTCAGTCACAGAGCAGAGAAGTGACACTGTAAAGACAAGGAATCTGATTGGTTCCCCTGTCTGCGTTCTGAACACTGATTGCTTTGCGGATAGATAGACCTTACTGAAGTTAGAGAAATTACATTGAACATGAAACCTTGTTCTTTTTTCAAATTATATTTGTTAAAGAATAGTTTCATGTAATTAAAGCATTTGACAACAGGGAATATTCCCCCCCACACACACACACCCCACCCCCACCCCCCCCTGCAGGTGGACTGCCTGGTGCTGCAGCTGCATCGCATCGGAGAGCAGCTGGAGAAGGTGAACGGCCAGCGGATGGACGAGCTGTTTTTCCTGCTGCGGGATGGCTTCCTGCTCCAGGAGGGCCTGAGCTCCATGGCCCGTCTGCTGCTGCTAGAGATCCTGGAGTTCAGGGCCGGAGGGTGGATGCTCAGCAGCACCGCCCACAAGTACTACTACAGTGAAATCGCGGACTAGGACAGTTGCAAGGACTAGGGTGCCAAGCAGCTTTTTGGCAGCTGCATTAGGAAACGTTCAAGCACCTTGGACACCTCTGCTTAGTCGCCACCAAGTCTAAAACCAGCAGTTTCACAACGGACAGCGACCCCTTCCAGGTAATCAGCGGAGGGTTTGTGAAGATGGCGGCTCATAGTGTAACAAGACTTTGATTTTGCTGGATTGTTCCCTGCGTTTGATAATATTACTGAGACATAGTGCCGTGGATGTGAAACGTGCAATAGTTCAAAGGAGCTGAAGTTCAGTTCGCGAGGTTTAGCCACATTCAGGAACACTTTGTTTTAAAGGAGTTTGTTTTAAAGTTTGATTACAGCTAGAGAAGCTGAAGATATTTTTTATGTTTTTTTAAAAAATCTTTCTAGCATTCCTCTTTTGAGAAAACATTTCAACTTATTTTTTACCAAATCTAAAGGAGTTGGAAAAGACATTCCAGTCAGATGCAAGCTGATTTGGTCTTTGCTTTACCTTTTATTGTTGTGTGACCAATTTTTTAATTAATTGAAGATAAATATTTTAAATATTTAGTTTAATATTTTATTGTAGAATTGAGTTTTACAAAAGGTTTGAGTTGCAGTTCAGAGGAATTTTCTGCCTAATTTTTCCTGTGGGATTCCTGTGTGACTGTTTCTTTGCCACTCGACATGTGAAGCTCAGATAAAACATTGTCTTAATTCAGGGATTTTCTTTTCTTTCTTTCTTTTTTTGTTGCAGCTCAACTTAAAAATAAAAGACCAAGAGTTTGGTTAGATTTCATATTTGAATTTTTCTACAGATAAATAGGTCAGATATTGAATTGATTTCTGGATTTACAAGTTTCATATGTAAACAAGTTGTGCCAATGTAACATGCACAGGATCATCCGAAACAGCTGATTTTGACAGAGCTTAAACTCTTAATTTGTAGTCAAGGTGCTTGGAGAGTAGTTAATTTCCACCCATTACATATATCCCATCGCATGAGCATTAAACTAGAGGAAAAGTATTTTGCATTTGAATTCAGGTTCCATCAGCACTGGCAATGCTATGTAGCTGAACTCAAGTTTTACTTTGGAGTCTGTTGTTACATCTGTTTATTGTTTATTTCAGTGACAGCTCTGAGGTCTACAACCAAAGCTGTGCCTTGGAATCAGACACAAGCATAGGACAAATTTCATGTAGTTAAAATGTGACACCTCTTTGAAATGACTTGATTTTGAAAACCTGTACCTGTAAAATGTAAATAAGTAAAGCTTTATATAAAGTTTACTTTCACAGCATTCAGACAAATCAGCGAAACTTGAATTCCTAGAAAGAATTCTCAAGGTTTGAATAAAATACAATTTGTAAAAAATGGTCAGGACTTAGGAAATTTTGTATATGTCCCAAAATCCTTTTTTCTAGTAGTATTTGAAGATTTACACATACATTTTGGTATTTGTCACTACATTCAGAGCAGAAATGGGCTCAACAATGTTACTGACTGCAGTATATGTTTCTGTATTTTCTTACCATGTTGCTACATTTTTACATCACTCAGTTCCATTTTTTATGGTTGGGTTGTACATTTAATGCAGATGTATTTGTTCCAATAAATCTCTGGAAGTTTTTCCTTTATCCAGTTCAATGTGTTTATTGTGTTTTGATTAACGATACAACTGAGTGCGACTGTTTATGGTACATGATACAATTTCTCAGTGCAAAAAGTGACAGTAAGCCATGTTTATACACATTTCACTTCTTCAACAGCACTTTTTACAGCATAGTCCTTCCACCAAAGCATTTTCATGGTGTTTACTATTTACATTTGTAGTTTCAGTAAAACAATGTGTCGCTGAATTTTCCACCAGCATCTGTCCAGTCTGTCAAAATGAGGGAACATTTGAATTGACAGTGTTTCAGTCCGGAGGGGGGGTCTTTCTACCACCAGCGGTAATGGGCGTATGCTCTGTTGGATTCGGCCATCTTGTGCAGCTCATATTTCTTCTTGATAACGTTGCCCTCCTTGATGGAGGCTGCCATCAGTTCCTGGGAGAGTTTTTCATACATATGCGTGCGTCTGTGTTTGTTGTTCTTGCACTCCGTGATCATCCATTTCATGGCGAGGAAGCGACGTCTGTTGTCTGTAAGAGGGATGGGTACCTGTGGGTGGAGAATACAGTTAAGACTTCTTTATGTTTATGTTTTGTTGCCACATTTGTGCCAAACTTTTTTCTGAAGAACAAACTTCAGTGACTTATCACTGACCTGATAGAACTTTCCACCTTTCTGTATGCTGGCCAGCCCAACCACAGGCTTACAGTTGTCCAGAGCCTGGTGAAAGATGGTATAGGGGTTGCACTCAATCTTGTCCTTCTCCCCCTCTGGAGCTTTGTGGTATTTTTCCACCTGTTTCCTCTTTATATTCTCCAGAGTCTGGGATAAAGAGAAACGGCAGCAATTAGTGCAGTATATTATTAGACCAACAGCAAATCTTTGAGCCTCACTTCAGAGACCAGACAGTGTCAAGATCTGTTTTTTGTTTTTTTTGTTTTACTTGTGTCATGATCGTCCTGGCCAAAATCTTGTCTCCATGTTTCATCATCATGTTGATGAATTTACTGAAAAGCAAAGACAAACATGATCAGCTTTGACTAAACAGGTGCCATGAGTGCTGCTCTCCCGCAGTAACCCGAGATTGTTTTACCTGAGGTCTGGGTCGTTGAAAACAGAGCTGGTGACTCCGCTGGTTGCTGCTTTGATGGGTCGAAGCACTTTGAGCTGCCGCTGTTCCTTCTCCTCAGCAGTCAGCTCTGCCTCTGGTCTGCTGTACACCTCCTTCCTGACCTCTGGCTCCAGATAGTACGGGTTATACCTGCTCCATCTTACCAAGAACACTCTGCAGACGAAGAACACACAAGGAAGTTTCATGAATAGTCTCTTGGCAAAAAATGAATTGGCAATTTGGCAACTGAATATCTTCTGGTGTGGACTAAACCAGCAATTTGTCACCTGGACTCTGGGAGTTTGTGATGGGTATTTTTCACTCGTTTCTCACATTTTACAGACTAAAGACTAAAAGTGATTAGCCAATTAATCAAAAATCAAATTAATTAATGATGAAAATCATTGTTGCACCCCTGAAGGGGGGAATCCCTTTCCCTTTGATTCCATTATTATCTTATTATTGATTGATTAAAATAATTTTGACATGCTCTAATGAGTTTTGAAACCATTCCAGTCAATAAACTGATTCATAAGTGATTGTTTAAACGTCTATCTTTGAGTTTTGACTGAAAATGTGATGACTCCTTAGCCTCTAGAAACATGTGAAGGTCAAGTTATGCTGTAATGTGACATTTTATAGATAAAACAATGCTGCAATGAGGAGACCATTAATCGATTATTCTATTGGCAGAAAATGTATCAACAAATATTTTGGTTTAGAAGCTAGTTATCAGTTTAGTAACTGTTCAATTAGAAATATCAAATATCTGCATATAATGTGAACATTTTCATTTCTTTGTTGTGCATGACACCAAACTGGATATTATTGGGTTTTTGGACAAAACAAAAAGATTTAAAGATGTTACATTGGGCTGACTCTTTTTTTTACGAAACAAGTTATCGATTAATCAAGAAAATAATCGGCAGATTAATTGATTAACCTTACTGCAGACATTATGCTCTGCACTGTTAAAGTAATGGGAAAATGTCGCTATATTATACACGTAATTGACTAAATTATTAGACGGCTCATTAAAAAACAGACCGACGCTTATGATATTATTGGATGTCATTGTTTTGAATAATGTAAATAATAGTTTTCTGCAGCTGTGGGTTAGGGTTAGTTTCTTAGAACTAATAAACCGCGAAGCGTTAAGTTACATTATCAGAGTTTTGATTCTGAATGGCAGGAGTTAAACGTCTAACATTAATATTAAACAGATATTTAAAGGTAGTTAATTGATATCTTTATAAATGTCATATTTACCTTGGTGTCCACGGTTTTAATAATCCTGACAGGGAGGCAGCCATCTTCACAATGTGAGTGTCAGTTAGGACCCCGGTTTAGTATTTCGTGCAGATGCCTTGGAAAAAAATAAAATAAAAAGTATTTTTAAAAAAACAAAAAAAAAACCGACAGTGTTTCGTTCAGTATATTTTAATTTTCAACATCAACGCGACTTTAGGCTTTTTCAAATGTTAGATATTTTGTATTATTTAGTAAATAATTTCGAGCATCAATTTTGGACTCTCGCGCACACGTTGGTGACATCACGCGATGTTTTTAAGTGCTATGGCGTACCAGGAAGGGGAGTCGCTTGAATCTTGGCTCAGTGAGTGTTTAATCCCATTTTATGAATTAAATAACATGTGAAATTAGCTAGATAACGTTGCTGCGGATGATAGGGCAGCGCATCGTCTGTAGAGAGGCTGTCAGCGCGCTGTTTGGCTGCTGGTGGAGGTTGTCAACCCAATGTCTGCAGCATTAAGTATCAGGCTGGGTGGAGAGCTTTAATAAAACACTGTGTGTGGGACACATTTACCAGTGACTGTGCAGTGACATGAAGCTTTACAGACAGCTGTCCGTCTACACAGCTCAATACTTTGTGCAGGGCAGGAACAGATTGGTCTGGGTGATGAATGAGCTCCTCTGTCAACACAATGGACACCAAACCAGTAATTACAAAAGAGGAAGATGTCAACAATTACTGCATTGTCATGTTGGGACCCAACAGTCATGTTGATCACAAGACTCACAGGGATCCATATTGACAGTGGGATGATATCAGTAATCAGTGGAAAGTAACAAAGTACATTTACTAAGGACTGTACAATTTTGATTTACTTTTTAATATTTCCATTTCCAGTTTTACTCCATTACATTTCAGAGGGAAAGGTTGTACCTACTTTTTACTAAATGTATTTGACAGTTGACATACTTTACATTAGAAAATGAAACATATTGAATAAGAATATTTTGGCAAATTACATATTTTACTGATTTTTGAGGTGAAAAGAAGTAAATACAACCCCTGCAGAAAACTAGGACTGTAACTATAATTATTTTCAATATTGATTAATCTGCCAATTATTTTCTTGATTAATCAAATAGTGGGTTTTTTCTATAAAATGACTGAAAAAATACTGTTATAATTTCTCACAGACCAAAGCGATGAATTCATGTCTTTGTCCAGCCAACAGTCAAAAATATGAAGATATTCAGTTTCATGGCATGTGTGAAGATGAAAAGCATCAAATCCTCACATTGAGAAGTTAGAAACAGCAAATATTTGACATCTTTTAAATAATAACTAAAATGATCAGTCTTTGAAATAGTTAAACTGATCAATTAATCAACTAATCACTACTGCTGTACATGAAACAGACATTGCAAAATAATTTCTGTACATGTTAATGCACAGTTGAACATAAACATGCATTAACATAAATACAAAAAGTAAACAGTAAAAAATTAGGTACTTTTACTACGGCATAATACTGTACCCTTCAAACACACCAGTTTAGTTAGTGTGTTAATGAGGGTGGATATTACTAGTAGGATGGTGGTGGTACTGGTTTCCAGTGAATACGAACACTGTGGGTGTGTGTGTGTGTGTGGGCACAATGAGACATCAGGAGAAGTAGCAGTTCAATTCCAGTCTTTACAGGTTTATTTGCACTCTTTCAAGGTTATTTATAGAGGTAACAGGTAGGTGGCTTACAATTATGGCTGTTTTTTATCTATTAAACAGAAAATATAAATCATGTATTAATTCCATTAAAAATATATAAACTAAGAGTGTCATAATATAAGCAACTACTAACATAACTTGAACATAACTAATATTGGTATCGTCTAAAGTTTAAACAACAAAGGGACTCACATTACACTCAGTCAAACAACTGTGACCAGGAGCCCAGGGTTCTTCTGCAGGTAGACAAAAGGGGCTAGCACCTGAAATCAATCCTTCTTATAACCGCCAGCCCCTCCTCCTTCCTGCTTCTCCCGAGGCAGCTCCTCCTCCAAACATGCTCTTCACAACACAGTGTAAATGTCTTTCTCCAACAGATAAAGCCACCCATCCAACAAACAGACAGGAGGACTGGGAGTATATCATTGGCTTCTGTGATCAGATCAACAAGGAACTGGAAGGGTATGTCTGTGAAATACTCACAAAACATTTTTTGAAAACCAGGCAGTTGGCTCAGGAAAAGTTTTTCATCTGGAATTTCTTCTTGCAGTCCTCAGATAGCGGTAACTCTGCTCGTCCACAAAATCCACTCACCACAAGAATGGGAAGCACTTCAGGCTCTGACAGTAAGAAATACTGCACATAAACGTCAACAGGAAGTTCTTTTTTTTTCTCATCTACTGAACCAGTCATTCACATAAATATTTGGTGTACAGGTATTGGAGGCATGTATGAAGAACTGCGGGAGAAGGTTTCATAATGAAGTCGGAAAATACAGATTTTTGAATGAGCTGATTAAAGTTGTGTCTCCAAAGGTGAGCGATCTCCACATGGGTTTAGACTATATGCTAATGAAAGGTAGGCTGATTGTGTGTCCTTCTATCCACCCTCTTTATCATCACCCCTTTTTTGCAGTACATGGGTGACAGTGCACCCGAGAAAGTGAAGCTGAAGATTGTAGAGATGCTGTACAGCTGGACGGTTGCTTTTCCCAACGAAACCAAGATCGGTGAAGCCTATCAGACGCTGAGAAGACAGGGTATGTTTCTCTTTCTTCTCCCTTGATCAGTCAGAACACACAAAACATCTGCTGTAAAGGAATCGTATTAATCCAGTCCTCACTCTCCTCACCAGGCCTCGTGACACATGATCCGGAGTTACCGCTGGACAGGACTCTGATTCCCTCTCCTCTGACACGACCTAAACACCCAGTGTTTGACAACGAGGACATGGGAAAGGTGAGGAATTGAAGGGGAAAAAAAACGGCTCTGTAATGTTGGGATTCAACCAGACTGCATTAGGTTGGAAGTAAAGAACACATAACTCCTTTCTAAATCACTACTGCTTCTAAAGTCATCATCATCATCATCATCATCATCATCATCATTAAACACACAAATGACTTGTAAAAAAAAAATCAAAGTTGTTTGACTTGCCCTCATAGTTTTAGCAGAATCATTTGTTCTAGAGGAAATTCTGCAATTTCAAAAGCAAACTGATGTTTTTGTGTGTGTGTGTGTGTGTGTGTGTGTGTGTGTGTGTGTGTGTGTGTGTGTGTGTGTGTGTGTGTGTGTGTTGT